GTTGTTGTTGACTGTTGTTGTTGACTGTTGTTGGTGACTGTTGTTGATGTTGTTGTTGGTGACTGTTGTTGTTGTTGACTGTTGTTGTTGACTGTTGTTGTTGCGTTGTTGTTGACTGTTGTTGTTGGTGTACTGTTGGTGTTGGTGACTGTTGTTGTTGTTGACTGTTGTTGTTGACTGTTGTTGTTGGTGACTGTTGTTTGTTGACTGTTGTTGTTGGTGAAATGTTGTTGACTGTTGTTGTTGAACTGTTTGTTGTTGACTGTTGTTGATGTTGTTGTTGACTGTTGTTGTTGACTGTTGTTGTTGACTGTTGTTGTTGACTGTTGTTGTTGACTGTTGTTGTTGACTGTTGTTGATTGTTGTTGTTGATTGTTGTTGTTGATTGTTGTTGTTGACTGTTGTTGTTGTTGTTTGTTGTTGTTGGTTGTTGTTGATGTTGTTGATGTTGTTGTGATGTTGTTGTTGATGTTGTTGTTGTTGATGTTGTTGTTGTTGATGTTGTGGTTGTTGTTGTGTTTGTTGTTGTTGATGTTGTTGTTGTTGATGTTGTGGTTGTTGTTGTTGTTGTTGTGGTTGTTGTTGTTGTTGTTGATGTTGTTGTTGTTGATGTTGTGGTTGTTGTTGTTGATGTTGTGGTTGTTGTTGTTGTTGATGTTGTTGACTGTTGTTGTTGTTGATTGTTGTTGTTGATGTTGTTGTTGTTGTTTGTTGTTGTTGTTGTTGTAGTTGTTGTTGTGGTTGTTGATGTTGATGTTGTTGATGTTGTGGTTGTTGTTGTTGTTTGTTGTTGATGTTGTTGTTGTTGACTGTTGTTGACTGTTGTTGTTGACTGTTGTTGTTGACTGTTGTTGTTGCTGACTGTTGTTGTTGACTGTTGTTGTTGTTGACTGTTGTTGTTGACTGTTGTTGTTGACTGTTGTTGTTGTTGACTGTTGTTGTTGACTGTTGTTGTTGTTGACTGTTGTTGTTGACTGTTGTTGATGTTGTTGTTGTTGACTGTTGTTGTTGACTGTTGTTGGTGACTGTTGTTGTTGTTGACTGTTGTTGTTGACTGTTGTTGTTGGTGACTGTTGTTGTTGGTGACTGTTGTTGTTGACTGTTGTTGTTGACTGTTGTTGTTGACTGTTGTTGTTGACTGTTGTTGTTGGTGACTGTTGTTGTTGGTGACTGTTGTTGTTGACTGTTGTTGTTGACTGTTGTTGTTGTTGACTGTTGTTGTTGACTGTTGTTGTTGACTGTTGTTGTTGGTGACTGTTGTTGTTGACTGTTGTTGTTGTTGATGTTGTTGTTGTTGACTGTTGTTGTTGACTGTTGTTGTTGTTGACTGTTGTTGTTGACTGTTGTTGTTGTTGACTGTTGTTGTTGTTGACTGTTGTTGTTGACTGTTGTTGTTGTTGACTGTTGTTGTTGACTGTTGTTGTTGTTGATTGTTGTTGTTGATTGTTGTTGTTGACTGTTGTTGTTGGTGACTGTTGTTGTTGATTGTTGTTGTTGACTGTTGTTGTTGACTGTTGATGTTGACTGTTGTTGTTGACTGTTGTTGTTGACTGTTGTTGTTGATTGTTGTTGTTGACTGTTGTTGTTGACTGTTGTTGTTGTTGACTGTTGTTGTTGACTGTTGTTGATGTTGTTGTTGTTGGTGACTGTTGTTGTTGTTGACTGTTGTTGTTGACTGTTGTTGTTGACTGTTGTTGTTGTTGACTGTTGTTGTTGACTGTTGTTGTTGACTGTTGTTGTTGACTGTTGTTGTTGATTGTTGTTGTTGACTGTTGTTGTTGACTGTTGTTGTTGTTGACTGTTGTTGTTGACTGTTGTTGTTGTTGACTCTTGTTGATTGTTGTTGACTGTTGTTGTTGTTGACTGTTGTTGTTGACTGTTGTTGTTGACTGTTGTTGTTGTTGACGATTGTTGTTGACTGTTGTTGTTGACTGTTGTTGGTGACTGTTGTTGTTGTTGACTGTTGTTGTTGACTGTTGTTGTTGACTGTTGTTGTTGTTGACTGTTGTTGACTGTTGTTGTTGGTGACTGTTGTTGTTGTTGACTGTTGTTGTTGACTGTTGTTGATGTTGTTGTTGTTGGTGACTGTTGTTGTTGTTGACTGTTGTTGTTGACTGTTGTTGTTGACTGTTGTTGTTGTTGACTGTTGTTGTTGGTGACTGTTGTTGTTGGTGACTGTTGTTGTTGACTGTTGTTGTTGACTGTTGTTGTTGTTGACTGTTGTTGTTGACTGTTGTTGTTGGTGACTGTTGTTGATGTTGTTGTTGTTGACTGTTGTTGTTGACTGTTGTTGTTGTTGACTGTTGTTGTTGACTGTTGTTGTTGACTGTTGTTGTTGTTGACTGGTGTTGTTGACTGTTGTTGTTGGTGACTGTTGTTGTTGACTGTTGTTGTTGACTGTTGTTGGTGACTGTTGTTGTTGTTGACTGTTGTTGTTGTTGACTGTTGTTGTTGACTGTTGTTGGTGACTGTTGTTGATGTTGTTGTTGGTGACTGTTGT